CTTAACATATTGGAAAAGGCATCTAAAATGTAGTTGTTAGTTCTGCCAAATAAATATTTTAAAAAATCTTTAAATTTTACTCCAGTGGTCTTGAGAAGACTTATAAAAACAAAAACTTTGATAGAAGTATTAAAGCTAGAATGGATCTTAAATTATGTAAGAATACTTGATCAGGTTTGAAGGAGGCAGTAATGTGAGTGTGAGAACTTTCTGGTTTTTACTTAAAAGGATAAATGTGAACTAGAGGTTTTGATTCCTGATGAATCCTTGCTTTTACAACTTGACATTACAGTTTTTAAAAATCTACCCTCTAATTAGGAAGATTGTTCTGTTTCTTGATGGCCTTTTTTTTGCTCAGTCTGTTGGCAGTCAGCAAACTCTTCCAACAGGAATTTTGAAGCTTAAGAGTTAGTTTAGGGTGTAAGTCTCGAGTGTTTGGATCTGTTCTTCCACTTTAAACCTAACTTTGAGGATTCAAGCTGTCTGACTTCTGGTAGTAGTTTGCTGAGTATTAAGGATTTAAGTTTCTATTTCCCTCTTTATAAGGAATATAAATTTGGTGTGGTAGTGAATTGCAATAACAGGTCATTAGTGGTTTTCTGAAAAATCTAAAGTAGAGGTAAATTTGAAATGATACTTTACAGTCAGAGGAATTTTTTTTTAGAGTAGGATGATAACATTCTTACTAAGTTTAGTGGGCATGTTTTCAAAGGAATTCATGCATCTGTAGATTTCTAAGTTACCGCTCAAGCAAAGGCTCTGATAAATTGATCAGTATTTCAAACATAAGAATTTTAGTTTATTTAACCTCAGTCCATGTTTTGGACAAGATAGCTGCCTTTCCAAACTCACCTGAGAATATTATAAATTGAGAATTCAATTCTGTTGTGTGTTGTTCCCTCTCTCCCATTTACCTTTTCTTTCCCTTTTCTTTTTTGGTATGTAACACCATGTACTGATCATATTTGGCTTTTAGGTAGTATAAATTTATCAAACTTTTGGTTTGTGGCTTTTGGGTTTTGATTTTTGGTTAGAGAAGCCTTCTTTAATCTGAGGTTATAAATAATTTACTTATACTTTCTCCTGGAGCTTTGATCCATTGGTTTTATTGTTGGTGAAGACATCAATTTCTGTTTTTCCAAATAATTATCTAAATGTTCCAGTACCATTTAAAAATAATCATTTTTCCCCGTTTGTAATTTCTTAAAAGATTTAGACCTATTTTTAGGATCTATGTTCTATTAAAATGCCTTTTTTGTCTTGATTATTGTAGCTTTAAAATAAACTTTTTAGTATTTGGTATGGATAATGTTTTCTTATCTGCTACCCCCATTTAAAAATTTCCTTTTTGAGTGCCTTGTTTTCAAAATAGACTTTGGTTTAATTTTATTAAGGTTATTCCTTATTCCCCCAACAGAATTACATACTCCCTTAATATTTCAGTGGGATCTCATTTAGAGGCATTTTGAAATTTTTACAGTATCAAGACCTAAGAATGTGATGGATGTTTACATTTTCCTAAATATTCTATTTATATTCATTAGTCAGGTTTCAGAGATTTCTGCACATAGGTCCTGCACATTTTGTGTGTGTGTGTGTTGTTATTGAGGGCATTTCTAGGACTTTATTTGTTGATGGCTGTTGTTAGTAGAATATTTTTTGTCTGTTTTATTTTCTAGCTTCTTATTTTTAGCTACTTGATTATTGGTTAACTTGGCACATTACTGAACCTTAGAGTGTCTTTTTAAAGTTTTTATGTTTAGGCTAGGTTGATTTTGAGAAAACAGTTCTTCAAATGGTGCTTCCAGTGCTTAGGGATTCCTGCTATTCCCTCCATCCCCTCCCTTACTCCTAATTTATAGATGATTTATGGCATTCCTGGACTTTTACTATATGATGCTCTATTTGTTACTTTGTCAGGGATAGCATTCTAAGATATTTTGATTGCACTTTATGTATGTTAAAGTGCCTTGTTACCTATCAATCATTATTTTAAATTACAGTTAAGAGTTTGAAACATAAGTATGTATCAGACCGTGTTAATGAACAAATTAAAGGGCCATTTTATGATGGCTTGGAATCTTCCATGTTTGCATATGTATGGGAGGGAGAAAAATATCAAAGGATTTCTTTTGAGAAATATGGGTTCTGGGCTAGATGAGTGTGAATAGGAAGATACCCAAAGGTTGGACTAACAGGGCATAAGTTACGGACACTTAAAGTCATAAAGCCCCCTTATCCTTGTGCAGGCAAATGCTTGCCATTGTTATTGGATGTCTCCCTGGCCCTCACATACTTTGGTAAAGACCTAACTCTGCCATTTTGCATCTCTTTACTATATAGGGAACTACAATCACTCTAGTGACTGGAAAAGTGTTGACTGTGTCCTGCATCAAATGGATTCAAATTTTATAGAGATCTAGCCATCAGAAGTCCCTTACCCCTAGAATCTAGAGTTTGGGGATGTCTTCTAATTGTTCACTACAGTTCAAGTATACTTAAAGGACTGGGTGTCAGGTTTTTACTTTATTCAGTCTCATGCCTGAACGATATTAGCAATATGAGTAGGTTCCAGAGCTGTATTTTTTTTTAAAAGTGTGCACCCAAACAAAGCTGATGCTGATTTTTGTGGTGGAAGTAAAGTAGAAGTGGGGAGAGATATAAACACTGATTTTTAGATAGAAAAAAAGATTTTTATTATAACAAAGAGTGGACTCTCCCAGTGACTTGGAGCTCTGATATGAACTTATCCATGGTGCAAGTTACACAGAAATGAAAAAGATTAATTAATGTAACAGCCCAAACTCTGAAAGTTGTTTGTGAAGGACTAGAAGAATGTTAGTGAAAGTTTTAATATGACTAACCTCTGATGAATAGATGTTTTACTCTTAATATTTATGAACTTGGTAAATCTCAGTTTATGAAATATTCCTTAGAAATGGCACGAGTATAATACAGATAGATTTACTGGTGACATAACTATGAAAGTGACCAAAATGATTGCTGAAATTACATGCACTAGTAGAAATAGAGAAGCTGGCCAGGAAGTCATTCTTACAGCAGTATCAGATTATCAGCGCTTAAACAGTGTGGTAGCTCTTAATTTTAAGCTTTGAGAGGAGAAAGGAACAAAAAATGTCTTCAGAAATAAAAGGCAAGAGCTACTGTAGCACTCTTGAAAGGAAGGTGTCTTTAGGGTTAGGCCGTACACTAGGATATTTGCATTGAAATATCTGGTAGCACACAAATAAATCGGTAACAAGCATTTGGAGCTGGAGAGAGAGCAAGGTCAAATTACAGAATCATACAATTGAGTAACAAATGTGGGAGGAGGGTGCTGGGAAATTGGATTTATGAGTTATATACTGTATGATTGGTGATCCTACATTATTAAAGAAAATAAAATGATTTTATTTTCAGCCCCGTCTGTTACCTTCTCTCCAAGACTTTGTATCTTCAGTTCCAAAGATTCTCTAGGATGATAGTGCCAATCTGCTTGCTTTATGGTTTTCCCACCACAAATTTGTTTTATAGTCTTTGGTTTGCTGATTTGCTTAAAATAATGTCTGACACGCAGTAAGCATTTATATGTTGGTAATTGCTGCTTTTTAAATTACTGTTACTCCTTTTCTGCTTTGTAAATTTCCCAAATTTTACTGTAAGTTTTTCCTCTTTGTTGTTTTTTTTTTTCCCCCTTGTAGGGTTATGCCTTAAAATTCTTTTAGTAGTAGTTAATAGACTTTTGGGAGGAGATGAAGTAAATAGATGTATTTATTTTTATCATGTTTTAACCAGGTACTGCAAATATGTGTGTCTATTTAGCTAGTTTTTAGTGCACATTATGAAAGTCTAGTCTGATAGTTGTTTTAGAAACGTATTTACTAAGTACCTAGTGGTTCAGTTTGTAAGCATTTGACTAAGGTTGAGAACTTTGCAGTTCTGATTGACAGTAATGTACAGTGTCATTTGATGCCAGTTGTGATCACAGAAGTGCAAGGACTGCTTGCCCAAGATTACATAGTGATGGAGCAAGGACTTGAACAACAATTACAGTTGGTCCTTGGTATCCACATTTGCAGATTCAGCCAACTGTGGGTTGAACCCCATGGATATGGAGGGTCAGCTGTACCACACCATTTTATATAAGGGACTTGAGCATCCTTGGATTTTGGTGTCTGCTGGGAGTGAGAGAGGGTATTGAGAGTCCTGGAACCAGTCTTCTGTGGATACTGAGGGATGACTGTATTCTACATCCAAGTCATTTGCTCCTCCTTGAATACGTCAGATCTTATGGTTCCTTTCAGCTGTATTAATCAAATGAAGATAGAATAAAAAGACTAGATTCAAAATTAATGTTAGGGCTAGAAAATGACCACTGATTTTTATTGAGAATCCATATTCATTCCAAAATGTTTTTGAGGCAGTATACTCATGGCTCAGTTTTTATTAAGCTAAGGAGAAAGAGAAGTTGGTAGGAAAAATGTATAATTTAAAGGTAAGGTTAGTATTCAAAATGTAGACATGCCTTTTATTAAAGGTGAGCTATAATTTAATATTTATAACACTGGTAAACATTAATTATTTTACTTAATTTTTATAATTCCATGAGGTAGGAAATAGTAATGAACTGTTAGGTTAAAGCTATGCTCAATAATACGTAAGTGATACAGCCTGGGATGTTAATCCTGGCAGCCTGAACTCTTAGTCCAAGTACTAAATACTACCTCACCCAGTTTGAGTCTTGACTAATACCTGTGATGTTTCAGAGATGTGCATTTGTTTTTCCTAATTCTGAAGTAGGTGATATTATGTGAACTGAGGTTAAGTAACTTCCAGGGTCATACATCTCACAAATGATGGAGATGGAAATCAAACCTAGATGAGCTAATTCCAAGATCTGGTTTGTTATCAGTCCATGTTGTCTTTGTATCTCTAATATAGCCTTTTAGAGTTAACGTAACATTTAATTGAGTATTGGTATCTTCTAATTTTTTTTACAGGGATTTATCAAAGATGTTCATGAAGACTCCCTCACAGTTGTTTTTGAGAACAAGTAAGTTATTTTTTATTGATAGAGATCTTAATTTTAAAGATTGGTAGTGCAAAAACTTTGGTTTTTGACTGTTCCTATTGCCAGTGGAAAATGAGTTGGCTTTTGGGTGAGACTCTTTGATGGTTTGATCATTTTAAGAGTTTATGCAATTTTAGTTTTGGTAATTTCACCTGTTTTTCTGCCCACAATTCACCTGTCTCTTTTTCCATGACTCTTTTCTTTGTCAGATCACATGTGGACATGAATTAGTAAGTGGTTTTTGCAAAGATAGATGGCATAAATGGGATTTATATCATATGCTTAATTCTTAAAAACCCAGAATTTTGAAACGATGTTGTTAGAAGTCTTTCCAAGTGACTACTGATAGAATAAGTATTAGTCTGCCTTTAACTGCTTGCTTATTAATTTTACAGATATTGTAAAGGTTAGGTAAAAATGTGAAAGACTTGGATAGGAAGCATTATGAAGGAGTACTGTATAATTGAAGGTCAGAAAAGAACTGGTCAACTTTTTGCTTTTAAGTTACTTCTGGAGCTGCCTGAAAAGAAATATGCCCAACAGCTGTTTCATGTAGAAACAAATGTTGAGAAGATTTCTGTATTTGAGCAGGTGCCATTTAGACAGTAAAGATGAAAAGAAAAAGCACTCATGTATTTTACTTGTCTAGCATTTTGCCCAACATTGGCACATAGAAGCTGTAGGAATATTTTACGTGCTGAGGTACCTCCCAGGCATATAAATGACCTTTTAGGACTTAAAGTAGGGAAGAATTTTAACTTTATCAACTTAACCGTATAAAATACAAATAAAACAACAGCTAAATAAGTAGCTTTAATACATTCATATTTGCTACGAAGATTAAAAGTAAGCTTTTTATAAGTTTTAATTATAATGTATGTGTTATGTGTTCATTGTAGAAAAGATAAATTCTGTGTAAGAAAATGAAATATTTTATAAATCAACTGTTTAAAATAATTGAGTAGTTTTCTATATTTCTGTGAACATGTACACCAGAAAGGAATTAAGCAATTTATGTTGTTTTATAATCTCTGAAATTGTGTTCCTTTGACAGTTTGTAAAGTTGTAAAAGTGTTTGCAGTAAGTTGATCCCATTGCAGCAGTGTAGAAGTGACATTATTTTGAATCTCAATCATTACTGTGAACTTAGCCCGTTTCATTTGCAGAATAATGTATGTACTGTTACCTTAGGGTGAGTAATTTGGAAGGTATTACATAATTATCATCAGTGATGTTAACTTCATCAAGTAATACAGTCTGTTCGACCTAAACAAACTAATTATTGGGAGAAAGATTTAATATGGAGGTTGATTTTCTTTTGGGAAAGCTAAATGATTGCTTTGAAAAATATACAGCACTAACTACAGACTATATAGCTTTCATGTTACGTGCTATTAGAATAATATATTTTAACATTGGTAATTCATTTTCTAATCCTTTAGTTGGCAACCAGAACGCCAGGTTCCATTTAATGAAGTTAGATTACCACCACCACCTGATATAAAAAAAGAAATTAGTGAAGGAGATGAAGTAGAGGTATGTATTTGTAAGTTTATTTTCTTGTGTGCCTATTTTTGTTTTGTTTTAAGTAAATATTCTTGTAGGAAAATCTGTTTAGTTGAGAGAGAATAAATCTAACTCCTTTATTCTGTTCTTTTTAATTGGTAATGGCTGTGTCATGTAGCAATGCTTGAGTTTTGGAGTCAGAACTGAGATGTCTCAGCTCTACCATTTTTAGCTTTGTAGCCCTTGTCAGATTTCTTCACTACTAAAACAAAAATAATTTGAGAGTTGAATATGATAGGGATTTGAGTTACTTTGCACAGTATCTGGCAGAGAACTATATACGTTGGTCATTATTTTTCTTCTTTTTGCTAATTTTGTCTTTTTCCTCAGTATCTTTGTAAAAATAGTTATTTATTGTAGTGATCAATAATATAGTTCATTTGTAACAACATGAAATATTGTAACTAGTGTATTGCCTTGTTGACAATTCTGGGAATTTTCAGAAAAATTTGAAAGGAAAAACAAAAAGGAAAAACCAAAAATCACTGCCCAGAGGTAAAAACCGCATTTCTTGATTTACATATCTATCCCTAGGCTCTCCTTCCTCCTTTTAAAAATAAAAATTACACTCCTGCTTTGTATTGTGCTTTTTTCACACTTGGTAGATCGTGGATGTCTGTCTACAATATGTTAATATTTTTGATTAATAACGCCTGCTGTTTTGTAAAAAGAAGCTTGGAGATAATTATCAAACAGAAGTATAATGAGTTTGTTGGAGATAGAAAATTTGATTTTTGATTTTCAAGAGATTGATAACTCCAGGGAGCTCAAATGTGCTAAATATATTTCTCATAAGGAGTTGGCTTGGTAATATTGAAAGAGATTTTTAAATCTCATTTGTACTAGTTTATGTAGGCTGGGGTAGGAGAATTGGGGGCATAGGAGAATCTTTAGTGATGAAATTTTTATAAACACCTAACAGTACATACTCTGTGCCAGACACTGTTCTGAGTACTTGGTAGATGAACTCATTTAGTTACCTGCCACTTTTATTCTTCGTTATTGCTTTAACGTTACATTTTGTTTGAGTTCTCATTAATTGTGGATGTTAGGCTAGGAAACCAAATTGTAGGACTTTAACCCCTAACAACTTGAAATGACATTAAAATCCTGCCTAGATTTTAATTACCTGCTCTAAGTTTATTGAAGTCTTCTACTTTTGCTAAATCAAAGTATGTTGTAACTTAATTGCGTCAGGGCTCCATGAGCCCACTCCCTAATATTATAGCTTTCAAGTTTACTTTTTTCTTTTATAGTTGACTTCCACCAAAAATGGATACTAAGAATTTTTTTGTGAAGAGACCTTTAACTGTAATCTAGGTGTTTTGTGTATTTGTGTCCTTGAGGGAAATGGCACTGATGAAACGGGAAGATTTGGGGAAATAATACGGCAAAGTGACTACTGAAAATTAATTAGTACTGGGGGTACTTGATGGGTGCTATGAATTGTAGCAGTGATGCTGCTGATTACTGTTCCATATTCACTTGGGCTTTAGACTCCAGTGATAATGTTTTTCTTAATATTATATCCCTTTCTAATCAACATCTTACTGTGAGGATGGATAAAAGAGCTTGATTTGTTTTCATTTTTTAAAGTTTATTTCCATTTTAGAAAGTTTTTTCTTCTGGAATTATGATGAGTCAGATCAGGCAAGGAATGACTTAGTTTTGAAAATGCTAGAATTAGAAATGTATGGTGGTCAATTCTGAGAGTAGTGCTTTTCATACTTTTAATAATTGTTCAGACAGTTACTAGTAGTTAAAGGTTCAGATTAGAGGAAAAAGTTGGTGGAGTGCTGAGGGTGTTATTTATAGTATGCTTTCCCCAGTCTCAGTCTGGGAAGGTCCTGTCTGGTTCCTGGACCACCTTTGTGACTTGCCTCCCCAGTTGTGTATATAACATTGAATGATTTGGAAATGGATGATTACAGAGTATTTTATTTCACTTTCTGTTTTATGGTTCAGTCTTGGTGAAATTTGCTCCTTAAAATTGTGAGAGTTACGATCTGGAATTAAGATGTTATTCTTGCTTTTGAAATTTTTGAAAATTCACGTAAGTCTAATCTTGCCACCTGTGGATTGATTGACGTGCCACCATCATTTAGGAATTTATCCAAACGACATTGAATGTTAAGGTATTCTGTTATTTAGTGCTTTTTGTTTTGAGCCCAGTGACTTTATGTTAAGCTCTCCCCTTTAAATTCAAAGTAATAAAGCTTAATATAGAAAAAGAAATGATACAGAATTACATGAAATAACAAGTGAACCGTCCCTCTTAAAGTATTTAAAACTTCAGTGGAACATTTTGTCTTCCAAAAATGCTTTTTCAATTACCAATTCCTAATTTTGCTAATACATGAAGATGTTTGTTTCCTCATAGACTGACTTGCTGAATTATTATTAATCTGTAAAATTTTATAAACATGATAGAAGAAAGCTGTTACCTTCTGGGTCTTCTGAATCTTTATCACTAGGGATATAAAATGTCTTAAATTGTTTATTGGCTGTTAGCCCCATGTTCTGTTGATTGTGTTTTTATTTTTTGTCCATGTAGGCTTTTTTTTGGGGGGGTCCATGTAGTTTTTGATGTAGGAAATGTTTGCATTTTGTGGGAAAGTTTTTTATCTGTTATGTATTGTGTTTTCTCTCAGGCAGTCGTTAAAAAACTGTTTAGTGGCTTGTAAAAAGTTATATTTTTGCTCAGATCTGCCAATTTTTTCTCTGTGGCCTCCAAGATAATCCATTTTAGTATTTCTTCGGATGTTGGCTTTTTTTTTTTTTTTAAGAGTATTTAGATTTTTGATACAACTTGATTCTTTTCTCCAGGGAAATTTATTGACTAGTATATATTTTTTAAAATTGTCATTGGCTGTTGTTGTCTTTCTACTAGTCACAAATACTATAATAGCAGTGATAACACCTGACAATTGTATAACACTAACCTATATAATATATAACTAACTGGCTGTTTAAACACATTATCTCAGTTTGACATAACAGTCTCTTGAAGGCCTCTTCTAAACTCTGAATACTTTATTAACCTTTTAAGTCATATAGCCTGAAGGTTGGGAAGCTGATAACCAGTTTTAGTTTTTGTCCTAAATACTATTCTCTTTAATATGTCATGTTGTATTCACAGGGTGTTGTCACTTTTGTGTCAGACTCCTGACTTGTTCTTTTGCAGCTCTAGGAACCTTTTCTCTTTGAAAGAGGAAGAGGTGACTTTGATTTGGCTATTAGTAATTGATTTAGAACACAAATGATCCAGGAAAGAGCTTTTCATTGAGCTCTTCAGGTGTTTGTCTAAAGTTCGGCCATGTGAAATTTCTTTTCTTTTTGTAGGTCAGGAATGGTTGAACATTGACGATTTTTCATGGTTTACTCTAAAATTCTATTACTTTGAAAACATATTTGGCTGCTTCAGGTTTGCCTTCCAGCCCACTTAGGGGGCTCCTGTGAAATTATAAAACATAAATTTGTGTCATGGTGTAGTAATGGCTTCAAGAAGACATTATATGATTTATAATAGAAAGTTGGTTTTGAAAAGTCTTAAGATTCAAAGTTTATTTTTAAATCTAATTAGTGGCTTTTTATTTGATTTCTTAAAAAATGGTAGCATTATATTTTAAAATCTTTATATTATTTAATATGATTAAATTTTTTTATAAGTAATTGTTTGACTGTTGTTTGCTAACTAAAGATAGCTAAGAAAATAATGCTTACCTTGTAAAGTTGGAGCAATGGGAAAATGAAGAGTTCTTTAGATTCTCTTGAGCTGGATATATAATTTTCTGAGATACTGTAAGGGCATTAGAAAAATTTTTTTCTCCAGTGATTTCACATGTGGGATGCTTTGTCTTTATAAGAAACCTGACTTACTCAGCAAGTTAATATACACACACACATGTTACTTAGGAAGCTTTATATATCAGCCCAAGCTGATACATAATTTTATAAGACAAAAAATTTTCTTCTTGAGTTTAACATATTTGATACTAAAAACTTTTTTTTTTCTGAATTGTGATGTTTTCTGGTTAAAATAGGGATTGGCAAGTTTTTGTTCTTGGACACATGCCTTTTCTTCCATCTTTTATGGTAGATAGTCAGACGTTACAGTTATATACCTTTATAATTTAGTTATAACATTGGGATAGATCCCTTGAGAGAAATTAGGTAAAGGGAATAAGAATAATTTGAGAAAGGATACTCCCTTACCTTACAGTTTTTAAATTTAATATTTTACTTATTTAAAAAAGTATGATATACTTGTATAGTTTACATCTTATCTTTAAAAATGTTTGATTCTTGGAACCAGTCTGAAAATTTTAGCTGTTTGTAATTAAAGTTGTCTCTCACATAACACCAAGTCCATTTTTAGTCTTACTGCATAGAAATGCTCATACATTAAAAAAATGGCAAACATATTCTTTTCTATTACTTATATCTTTTCTCTTTTCGGGAATGGTCGGTTTCCAAGACTTAGGAAACCCATTTGTTAAAGTATCAGCCTCAAATGCTAATGAAGTAATACTATTTGTGTAAATAGATAAATTACATTAGTATGTCCTAGATGTTAAGCTTGCTTTCATCATGTATAATTTCTGTTTCTTCATTGATTGTAATGAGATGAAATAGTGAATATGGGGTAACTGCTAAAAATTTATTTGATGTAGTTGTAAAATGGGTTGTTATGATTCCATATTCAGTTTAATGCTTAACATTATTTCGAATTTGGTAAAAATTGGTTAAAAATTCTCTACTGCTGGTGTTCTTATCTCAATTGGTTGTAACTTTGAAAGGCATATTGAACATTAACTTGAATGAAAAGTTGATAACATTAGGATCCAGACTGGAATTATATTATGTCTTTTTTTTTAATTAAAATTAAAAAAATATTTTTGTTGACGTATAGTCAGCTTACAATGTTGTGACAATTTCTAGTGTACAGCACAGTGCTTCAGTCATATAGGAACATACTTATATTTGTTTTCATATTCTTTTTCACCATAAGTTACTACTACAAGATACTGAATATAGTTTCCTGTGCTGTACAGTATAAACTTATGTATCTATTTTATATACAGTAGTTAGTGTCTGCAATTTTTTTTTTTTTTAAAGTAGAGATGCTGGGGATTGAACCCAAGACCTCACGCATGCTAAGCATGCACTCTACCATTGAGCGATACCCACCCACCAGTGTCTGCAAATCTTGAATTCTCATTGTATCCTTTCCCACCCCCTTCCTCTCCTGGTAACCATAAATTTGTTTTCTGTGTCTGTGAGTCTGTTTCTCCATTGTGTCTTAGTTTGTGTGCTGCAATTTGAAGACCATTTTATAATAAGGTTTGACTTGGATTCATTTGGTAGAAAGAGTCCTGAAACAGGCTTTTGAAATTTGATTCTTCATATTTCATCCCCTATTCCAGGAAACTGTAGCCTGCCTTCTTCATTCTGAGAACTACTGTGTTTTTAAGTCTCTCATGGACACTCCTTAGTCTTCTGCTTTTTTAAAACTTCTTTGGATTTGAAGAAGCTTAGAATGTTAGAGCAATGAGGGCATTACCTTAGAGTGTTAATTGCTCCCTTGTAATAGTTTGGAGATGTAAGTGAAATCTGAAGTAAGGGAATTTCTATGAGGTGCTTTTACTCTAATGACATAGTCGTAAGTTTAGTAATCAACATCTCAGGTATAGTACACTAGGGCACAGTTTTAATGCTGGGTTGTTAAAATGATTTTTTATTGTGTCGAGATAACGCTGTTCATTTTGTAAAGGATGTGATTTGACCTGCAACATTCAAGTGGAGCCAAATCCATTGCATTTTGATTCAGGCCAGGAAATTAGGTTTATTTGGGTCTATGAGAGTGGCTTTTTCCTTCAGGGGTATAGTTATTAATGAAGCTTAAAGAGGTGGATGTAAGTATAAAACAGAATCTAACGTTTAATATTCAGTGAGAAAGTCTCAAGGCAATCCAAAATGGTTTATTTTCTTTTTCAGAGGTAAACTTATGTAGGAGGCCAGATTCCTAGAAGGTTATTCTTTGGTGAAAATAGAATTAGAACAGATAGTTTTAAGACCCGTTTTTTTCAGCATTCAAGCTAAGGGTGCACCTGTCCACTACAGGTCACCAAGAGATGCTTCAGTCTGTTTAGCTCAACTGCCTTTCTGAGATAGTGCCTGGAATGGGCATTTTCCTTGTTCTTAGGTTTCCTTTTTTTTTTTCTTAATCCTCAGTATACTAGGGAAAATAGTCATTTGGGTCCAGTGAACCATTTTTATTGTTTTTCATATTTTAAAATAGTTTTACATATAATTAAAAAAATTTTTTTAGAGAGAGGTAATTAGGTTTAATTATTTTTTATTTTACTTTATTATTTTTTTGTGGAGGTACTGTAGATTGAACCCAGGACTTTGAGCATGCTAAGCATGCGCTCTACCGCTGAGCTACACTCTCCCCCACGTACAATTTTATAGGAGTAAAAATAAAAGGATGGTGAAGATGTTAGCATTATTCTTTTTAATAAGCATTTAGACAAAAGTCCAAGTTTTCTATATCTTGCTGGTTTTGACAATATATATATACCTAAAATGAGTAAAGTTACTTATTGCTCATTAGCTGTCGTGTGTAAACCCAGAACATACCTATCTTGCAAATACTGATATCAGAGTCCACAGACCTCCTGTATAGCACAGGAAACTATATTCAGTTTCTTGTAATAACATAATGGGAAAGAATCTGAAAAGAAAAAAATATATATATGTATATGTGTAACTGAGTCACTTTGCTGTATACCTGAAACTAACATTGTAAATCAACTCCACTTCAATTTAGAAAAAAAAAGTTACAGTCCATCTCTAAGAAGTTGTAATTTATCATTTCTTCTATTTTATCTAAACACTTGAGTTATCAGAATGCAGTACTTTTAAGAATACAGTTGACCCTTGAACGACATGGGTTTGAACTGCATGGGTCCACTTACACTTGGATTGTTTTCAGTGGCAAATACTACAGTACTACGTGATCAGTGGTTGACTGAGTCCACGTATGCGGAACTGCATAAACAGAGGGCTGGCTAAAAGTTACTCTCGACTTTTTGATTGCATGGACGGTTGATGCCCCTAACTCCTGTGCTGTTCAAGGGTCATTTGTATTTTGGAACTTTTGGTGACTTCTAATCTTATTGAACAGAGGATTGTCATCTTTGCACTATAATTAAACCATTTTCGTATTTAACCAATGGGATTGACTATTTCATTGTATTCAGTGCATTTCATTATCTGTTCTTTTTCTAGTTCTCTTTTTATACCCAACTGCTTTTGGCTTTTGTTCTCTTGTGAACTGTATCAGTACATTTTGGTATGCAAACATAAAAAGATGAAAGAATACTGTCATGTGTCCTTTTAGAAAAACACTGTGGTCCAAAATCTTGTTGCAGGACTTTGTATGATGAAGTCACAGTTGAATGACTAGCTGGGTGAGAATACTAAAGATTACGTTTTTCTCCTTAGAAGTATATTAGTTGGGAATATTCAGCAAGTATGTTGTCACCTGAAGATGTCATAGTCTGAGATTCTGCTTAAAAGATAATTTCACATTCATCATTAGAATCTAGAGTGTTGGTGTCTGTCTCATTGCATCAGTCTGATTGATCCCTTTCATAATCGTGAAAATCCTTCCTCTGAGTTTTTTTCTCTTTGCAATTATGGGTAAAAAATAGAAATTCTGAATTTCCAGTTGTTTAATGACAGCCAAAAGCAGACTACAAGAGTGATATCTCCAGCCTTTTTATATACTTTCTTGAAAGACTATGAAATGAAGATGATGCAGTAGTAACAATAAAGTGTACTGTTGTATCCTTTCCAGGTGATGCCATCATCCTTCTGTTTTCTTTAAAATTTTTTAAAAGCATAGGTGTGAGTAATTGATGAATGATGATGAAAATAGCAAAGTTTTTCAGTGTATAGAAAAAATAAGATTGATGGATTCTGCCTTAGATTTGTGATAGAATTCACTGGATGCATATAATAATTGTAAGTTAGAGTTTTATTCTATTCTTAAAAAGTAAAATTTCGTATTTTTTGGGAGATCTATAAGAAAGGGTAAAAGTCATGAAATAGATTTGCTCATAAAAGAAATGCAGAAGCTAAAATTGAATTTACTGGAGATTGATTATTATAGAGGCCTTCCTTTTTTTTTTTTCCTTTTTCGCTCTTATTTTTTCTCTAATCATGGCATATGATAAAGTTGATCATGAAGTTTTGTCATAATTTATTTTTACTTTTAATAGTCTACCACTTCCGAGATAACTCAGATCATGTTGATAGAAGCTTCAGGTTTTCCAAAACTGTTTGCCTATCCGTAGTTGTTTGCATTATTTCATAGATGGCTTTATGTATTGATTGGTAGAGTTCTCTGGCCACCTATACCGGGGCAACCTTATTTTAACCAAGATTTTTGTGGGGGTATTAATTATCTCTTCACAACCCTCTGCCCCCATTTTCTGTGTATTGAAAATGCATCAAACAAGCTACTGTGTCATAAGAAATAACTCTAATCCTCAGTGGAAACTTCTAAAGTTGTGTTTAAAAATACTTGATAATTATAGATGTAGAGTATATAAGATACAGATTTTTTTAGGTAGGAGGTTTTCTAAGATACTTAACATATTCTGCTAGATGCTGAATGTGTGTAATTTTTTTGTTGTTCAGCTAAAGTTTTTAGTACATTTAAGTTCTTCAGCAAGGGATTTAAATGTCATAACCTTGAAGGAATTTTAAAATAGGGTTTATCACTTTCTGAATACAGTTCTTAATTTCAACATTTTATAAATACTGACATCAGACTTAAAATACATGTTATTAAAGTTGTAGCTTATTCTTACTTTTGATATTTGAATCATAACTTGAATCATCAAAATGCAGTGCTTGATGTACAGTCTTGACAAAAACAGAAAGACCTGTGTTTTTCACTATGTATAAAACTGCCTTGTAAGAAACAATTGTTTACAATAATATTTATTTATGTTTAGTAAATCCTCATGAATTTGGAATTCATTTTCCAAAGAGGCAAATTACCCAAAAAGGATTCAGTTTTATTTTTCAGTAGTAAAATTTAAGCATGCGTGACTCTTTTTATTAAGCTATGTGTAGTATGCCAGTTTCAATATAATAACATTTTTGATTCTTGAGTTTAATGGAATTTGGCATTTATAATAATAAGTCATTACTTACAGTGTTGAAATCTTTTGGAATGAATAAATAAGGATCTGTTTTTTCTTGTCAGGTATATTCCAGAGCAAATGATCAAGAACCATGTGGATGGTGGTTGGCTAAAGTTCGAATGATGAAGGGAGAAGTAAGTGTTGTTAACACTTGCTTTGTGACTAGTTTCCAAGGAAGTACTTCGACTTGATTTTTATAAATGTTACTCCAACTTATAGTTTTGTTTCTAAAAGCCTACTTCAGAAATAGTCACACATTCAAAAAATTCATGAGAGCCTTAATTTCTGTTTGTGTTCTGGATTTGCAAACGCCAAAGCTCCTCTCTAGAGGTATACCACAAGCATGTAAGGACCCTCAAGGTTCATGCTTGTTAAGAACCTATAATCTAGTTCAGGCAAATCAGATTGATGTAACTTAAGCTGTGTATTCATGCCACAGGGGGAGGGTCTACTGGTTAAGCTGAGCAAGGTAATTAGAACTTCATTTAAAGCTCATTATTTTTGTTCAGATGGGATTTTTAAAGTATTTTGATGTCTTTTAGTTTTATGTCATTGAATATGCTGCTTGTGATGCCACTTACAATGAAATAGTCACATTTGAACGACTTCGGCCTGTCAATCAAAATAAAACTGTCAAAAAAAATACCTTCTTTAAATGCACAGTGGATGTTCCTGAGGATTTGAGAGAGGCGTGAGTAATTTTGTTTACTATTGAATTGCTTTGTAAATTAAGAGGATTTTTCAGTACTACAAAAATCTCTTTTCCCTAAATACCCAATCAAAAACTTGTGATAGAAAATCTTTTTAGTATACAAAAGTTTTAATGGATGGTGCTAAAATAAACTACTTAATTTGCATTATAATTGCCCTCTTAAATTTAACCTATTATTTAGGTCTTAAACATGAATTAATTTCTCCTTAGGTGTGCTAATGAAAATGCACATAAAGATTTTAAGAAAGCAGTGGGAGCATGCAGAATATTTTACCATCCGGAAACCACGCAGCTAATGATACTGGTAAGTGAACTCCATATTTTAAGATAGCTAATGGATATTGCATGGTTTTTATAAGCAAATATTTCAAAAGATAAAAGCTAACTTGGTATAAGTGACTTAAAATACTGTGTATTGGTTGGGGGAGGGTAGAGCTCAGTGGTATACTTGTGCTTAGCATGCATGAGGTCCTGGGTCCCATCCCCAGTACCTCCATTAAAAAATAAGTAAATAAATAAATAAACCTAATTACCTCCCCCACTCCAAAAAAATTTAAAAATAAATAAAATACAGTGTGGGAGAAAAAATATTTTGCAGTTATAAAATGTTAATTTTTAAAATCTCTGGAGTAAGGAGGAAAATTCTTTGTATGACATTATTAACAAAATAAAATTCTCAATGTGTGGATTCCTGGATTCCACTTCCCCATCATAATTTGAAGAGCAGATCTAAATAATACGAAAGTTAAGAAATGAAAGATTACTAATGGGTGGTGGGCATGTTAGGTGAGAAGAGAAGTACAGTAGACGAAAATCAAGGAAGGCCCTATGTGGAAGATTGTGTTTGTATTATCTTGAAAAGGCATTTAAATTTTTGAGTGATTAACTTGTTTGTTTATAGTCTGCCAGTGAAGCAACTGTGAAGAGAGTAAATATTTTAAGTGACATGCATTTGCGGAGTATTCGTACAAAGTTGATGCTTATGTCCAGAAATGAAGAGGCCACTAAGCACTTAGAAGTAAGTAGGTTTACTGAAAAGGTTTTTTGTGTGTCCCATTTAGTTTCATGAGTACATTATTTAAGTTCCATGGCTCAAAACTACTTGACTGTTAGGTAAGGCAACCTGGGATCTGTTTTTTGGCCAATACCTGGAGTCATATGTCCTTCGAAGAATTGCTTTTTTCTGTTATTTTTCTCAAACATAGCCTTTTTTAAAACAAATCTTTTAATAGTTATTCTTTTAGAGCAGTTTCAGGTTCACAACAGAATTGTGCAGAAAATACAGTTCCCACATAGCCCTTCCCACCCACGCGTATATACTCCCCTACCCTCAACATCCCTCATCAGTGTGGCATATTTGGTACAATCGATGAACCAGCATGGGGACATTATTATCAACCAAAGTCCATAGTTTACATTAGGGTTTACTCTTCATATTGTACATTCTGTGAGTTTTGACAAATGCATAGTGATATGTAGCCACCACTATACTATATACAGGATAATTTCATTGCCCTAAAAATCCCTTGTTCTCCATCTATTCATTTCTCCCTCCCTTCCTCTCCCCAAACCTCTGAAAACCACGATCTTTTTATTGTTTCTGTAGCTGTGCCTTTTCCAGAATGTCACTTGGTTGGAATTGTACAGTTTGTAGCCTTTTCAGACTGGC